AGAGAGAGAGAGAGAGAGAGAGAGAGAGAGAGAGAGAGAGAGAGAGAAAGGTAGGTTGGAGGGCCTCCAGATCTTCCTCATATTTGTTCTTGTATATGTCAAAAGTCAAAAGCCCATGGTAAGGCTTAGGGTCAGTGTCCTGCCATTGAGAATTGAGATTCATTTGCCGGGCAGTGGTGGTGCACGCCTTTAATCCCAGCACTTGGGAGGCAGAGATAGGTGGATTTCTGAGTTCGAGGCCAGCCTGGTCTACAGAGTGAGTTCCAGGACAGCCAGAGCTACACAGAGAAACCCTGTCTCGAAAAAACAAAACAAACAAACAAACAAACAAACAAAGATTCATTGTAAGATGCTGATATTGATATTTCTCCACGAACAGAAGAGTTGAGTACAAAGGTACAAGGGACAGACAAACATCATGTTTGACTATCTTTTGGTCAAAACCTTTAATGTTTAATTTATATACAGCAGAAACTATTAATTCTTCCAACAGAGTGTAAAAGACAGCAGATACTCTGTACAACACATGCTAGAGTCTCAACAGCAGCAGCTGATGTTGGCCTGACTCATTGCCCAGAGAATGTACTAGCAACAACAACAACCAGGAGCTGATATACTTTCCCCAGTGAAGGCTCCTTGTGCCATTTTTGGCTTTATTTTGCAGTAAGAAAGTCTAGTCTCCACAAGTGTTGAAATGAAATGGAAAATACCATCTTAGTAATTACAACTACTGCACCATACAGAACGTTCAGAACTTGTTTGCATAGCATAACTAAAACTTCATATTCATACCCCTCATTCTTCAGCCTCTCATAACCATAGCTGCAGTCTCTGATTGATCAAGCAGTGACTATTTCAGATGTGATGTGTGTGTGAAATTATGTAGTATCTGTCCTTCTGGGGCTTGCTGATTTAACTCAGCATAAGATCCTCTAAAGACTTATAAAACATGAAAGGGCATTTTCTGCCTCAGCACGGTAGTGTTAGATTATAAATAACTGTTAAGTCTGAAACAAGACAAAACTAAGCTTAATAATTAGTGAAAAAAATCACTATTATGCTGTGACTTCTAAAAAAAAAAAATCATTGCCAAAGCATCAAAATCTCTCTTATTTTCTACTATAGATGTATAGAGAATCCCAAAAGCATGACAGCAGATGTATCTTTAGTATACTGGAAAAAAAATATATATATATATATGTGTGTGTGTGTGTGTGTGTGTGTGT